AGTTCCACATCAATGTAATATGAGAAATATTATTAAAATAATAACTTAAAGCATTATTTTATTAATATAATCTAAATAATTCTTCAAATTTAAATCAAAGTTATAAAAAAAATTGATTTATGATTGTTTTGATCAAATCTCTATTGTTTCATTTAATTTAATTTTGTTCGAGGACGACACAGAAAAAAGGGAAAGTAGGAGAAGATGAGGGATGTGCCTAGCCGCCATTTTTATCGAACCAAATGATTGAAGGTTGATGTGAACTAGAGAGAGAGAGAGAGATTGTTGTACTATGATATGAAAACACATAGAGTCATTTAAATATGGGGTTTTTGTGCATAAGTCACTAACCAACTATCTTTATTATTCTGGGTTTAGGGATTATATCTCTTTCGTCAATAAGTTCATCCCTTTAATATTTAGGAAAAGGAGGGATAACCCCCTCATGGTGAAATAATATAGTCTAGGCCCTATTTATAATTGACCCTCGTAATCACCCATTTAATATTTTCTGAATTGTGTGACCCCCTAAGCTTATGTTAATGTCAATTATGCCCTTTTTGTCCATATTTTTCTCATACTTTCGCTCTCTTCTCCTTACTTCTCTCTTATCCGTCATTTAATATCCTCCTCCATTTCTCTCTCTTCATTGTTTTCCTCTTCCTTTTTTCCTCACTTTTGACGTGTTGTTATTTTATTCTTTTTATTCTCTCTCCTCTCTCCTCTATCATCTCTTATCTCTCTTCCCCAATTTCCTCTATTCTCGTATCTTTTTCTTTTATTTACTCTCTCTCTCTCTCTCTCTCTCTCTCTCTCTCTCTCTCTCTCTCTCTCTCTCTCTCTCTCTCTCTCTCTCTCTCTTCCCTCATTTCCTCTGTTCTCGTTTGTTTTTGTTTCAGTTTTTCTCTTTTATTTTTCTCTATTTCTTCTCACTACTTTATCTTTTCTTCTACATCTCATTTTTTGGTTGGTTGTTGAAATCAATCTATTTTCTAATGAATGAAAATTCATGTTTTCACCGGAGATGAGATTTTATCATGAGTATTCAATTTTATAACACCATAGTATCTTAAATTGAAATATAATATAGTGAATTAATGGAAAATTATAGTTGACTACCAGTTTTTTATAGTTGACATAGGAACAATTATAGTTGACTATCCAATTTTTGTAGTTGACTCTGGCAACAATATGGTTAACTACCATTTTTTTTCTAGTTGACATCGTAAACATTATAGTTAACTGTCTAATTTTTATAGTTGACTTTGGAAAAAATATAGTGAACTATCCAATTTTATAGTTGACTCTGAGTGTAGATGACTGCAATATTTTATGTTTTTCGACAACAATGATCTCTTCTTTGTTGTGGACTCTGATAAAACAAATTTCATAGAAAACAAATATTTATGAGTCAACAAATAGTGCGTCCATAGATCTGAAGATCTAAAAAAACAAACTTATTTACAAACTCCATTTCTGAGTAATCAACCATGGAAGAATTCTAAACCGTCACATATGGTCGTCGCGTACTATTGCATACTGTTGATGCAGGAGACTTCGATTTGTCATTTGAGAGTCGTTGAGAAGGGTGTCAAAAACAGAAATTATGTGGTAAATATACATAGATTAGGTTAATAGACGTCGAGGGGATAGATGGGTGTATAAGAAACTACCTGTCTTCTTCTTGCTATCTTTTCACCATTGTTGTCGACCTGTGTTTCTCAACGATTCTCACATAAACGTTATTTGGTTTTTTTTTTTGAAGAAATATAGCAAACTAGGGCATTGTTGCGACTGAGAAAAGAACCGATGTGTTTGCAGATTTTTTTTGCGATTTTCTTGGCACAAATATAGCAGACTGGCGGAAGTTGGGAAGAGATTGACGAAATGGTTGAATATTTGCTGTTTTAGGGAAAATAATGAGGGGGTCATTGCTATTAGAAATTATGAGGGTAGTTCAGTAATTATTAATTATGAGGGGGTTTGACCCATTAAAAATAACGCGAGGTGGTTAGTCCTAATATTTTTTATAATGAGGGGTTATATCTTATTAACCCTAATATTTATTATAAATAAATGAAAAATTCATGTAGATGACAAAATTACCCCCAATTCTTAATTGTAACCTCAATTTAATCAATTTTGACCACAAAAATCCAATTTTCACTTTTTTTTAACTTTTTTTTTTCAAAAATTGTTTTTTTGCCGCCCGTTTTTTGCGTTGACTTTTCTTGTTTTTTTTTCCTGGTCTGTTTTTTCCGCCGCCGGGGTCCGGCGTTGACTTTTTTTTTTTTTTTTTACGTCCGCCGCTTAACGTTGACTGTAATTGTGCTGTTGATCCGTTCGAAAGAAACACGATCCAATGGTCTCCTCTGAAAAAGTAAGTATGATCTGGAAAAAAAGAAGCCGGACTGATGCCAGAGTTAGCACTCCGACGGTCAAATCAGTAATGGATTACGTGAGGTTTCGAAGGGTTTCTTCGTGGTATATATTTGGAAAGGTATGTAAAAAACTTGGCCTTTTGGATGGACATACACCTCTCTTTATAGTGTTTACTTGATCTACTTTTCCAGGGCCTCAAATTCCGGTCGTGCAGTCCTGCGTTGCCCTCACCTTGCCTTAGAGCGGGTGGCCCGGCTCATGATGGTCTCTCTCATGATCAGGCCTAGATGTGCTTGGCAGTCTCCCTCATGCTTTTCTCGGTTTTTCGGTCGCACCTTGTCATTCGAGCATTAAATGCCACTGTCAGGATATTTAACGCGCCGTTGGAGCGATGTCAGTGTATTTATATCCCTCTTCCCGTGCTCGCTTTGTTCTCTCATATTCGGCGGACTTCCCGAGTGCCGCTAGCACCCACGGGGCTTCGTTTTCATCTTTTGTCGTTTACTCAAGGTGGGTGCGGGTCCAGGAGCTGTGTCTCTCTTTTTTGGGCACCCTCCCCCAATCAGGTCGTATACACCATATTTGGCCCCTTGTTAATGGGCCTTCTGATTTGGGCCTCTTGGTCCGGTTTTGGTCCGGATCAATTAGTCCCCCACTCTGGGTTCCATACTCGTACTCGGGGCACGTTTCGGGGCCCGGAGTCCATGCAGTTTCATCCACGTCTCGGATGGATGCCCCAATCTTTCATCTGTCTTATCCGTTTAAATGACCCCTCGTTTTCTGCGTTTTCACGCGCCTACCTAGGTAACTGTTACTCCCGCGTGCCTACTCGTTTTTCGTGCACTTTTACTGGTAACGTCCCTTCGACTGGATTTGGGTCCTCTTTACTTCAAATCATTTTCTCTCTCACCTCCTCTTTCTTTCATATATTGCCCTCTGTTTCTCCTTCTTCATTTCCTACTAGTGCGAATTTATTTCACCAGGTATTCTTCTGTTTTCCACTTTCTCTTTTTTTGTTAATTCGTCCTCTCAATTCTCCCGACCATGATTTCCAAGAGCACCTCCAACTCTTCTTCAGAGAGGACCGACTCTGCTGCTGCCCCCGTCTAGCCTATGCGGCGGGATCGCCGATGACCAACTCCGAGAAAGGGGTGGCTCATTCTTCTTCCAGAGCCGGGAAGAAGAAGGTGATAGAAAAACCCCTCCACTCGTTAGTCGACAAGTTTGACCTCGAAGCCATCTATGCCACTCGGGGGGTCGATTCCTCGTTTCATCTTCTTGTTCCCTCTCGCTCCCAAACTCCTTTTGACCCTCCCCCGGGGTATCTTACCTGGTATCTTGATCAGTTCAAGGCTGGTCTAACACTGCCCCTACACTATTATTGAATGAGATAAGAAATAAGGTCTTAGCTTTCGAGATGTGATCACAAGGGCTAGCCCCACCTTCTCGATCTCGGTGTACCTTCTCTCCGCTCCCTTAAGCATGCGGCTTACATAATAGATGGGGCACTGGACCCCCTTTCTTTCTTTCAGGAGAACTGCACTCACGGCTTGTTTCCCTGCTGCCAAGTAGACGAAGAGCTTATCCCCAGTCTCCGACTTCACTAGTAGAGGCAATCGGGCGACGGACTCCTTTAACTGCTCGAAGGCTTGGTCTGTTTCCGCGTACCATTCAAACCGATGGACCTTGCGTAAGATCTCAAAGAAGGGGTTACTAGCGTCGGCCGCTCGGGAGATGAAGCGACTCAGTGCGGTGACTCTCCCTGCCAGTGTTTGTAATTCTTTTATATTCCTCGGAGGCCGCATGTCGGTCACTGCGCGTACTTTCTCCGGGTTCGCCTCCACTCCTCTTTCGGTCACTATGTACCCTAAGAATTTTTCAGTTTCCACACCGAACGCTCACTTGGCCAGGTTGAGCTTCATGCCATACTTTTGCAACGTCGTCAATACGTGCGTCTTTCTTTTTGCTTTTGATGAGCATGTCGTCCACGTATACATTTTTCGTCCGAGCTGTGCTCGAAACATGGTATCAACCAGTTTTTGATAAGTCGCGCCCGCGTTCTTGAGGCCGAATGACATCATGATATAGAAGTATGTTCCCGTTGATGTGACAAAGCTCACCTTTGATTAATCTCTCTCGTTCAATCGAATCTGATGATACCCCTACGAGGCGTCCATCATGCTTAATATTGAGCAACCAACCGTCAAGTCCATGAGCTGATCGATCATTGGTAGTGGATAATGATCCTTGGGGCATGCTTGATTCAAGTCGCGGAAGTCTATACACATTCTCCACTTGCCGTCAGACTTTTTCATCAACACGGCATTTGCCAACCATGTCGGGAATCTTATCTCTTTAATATGTCCTGCCTCAAGCAGCTTCTTCACTTCTCCCTCGATGATCATGTCCTTTTCAGCGCCAAAATGTCTTCTCCTGTACTTCACCGGGCAGGCACCGGGTTTCGAATTCAGCTCGTGCACGACCAAACTGGGGTCAATTCCAATGAGATTTTTTTATGACCAAGCGAACACATCCTGATTCGCCCGTAGGAAGGCTAGCAGCTCGTCGGCCATCTCCGCGTTCATCCTTGTCCCCACCTTTGTGACGCGGGTGGGGTCTCATTCGCTGAGGTTGACCACCTTTAGCTCCTTCATGGCCTGGACGTGACATTCATCCTTCTCCTCAGGTTCTACTCGGGGTCCTTTCTCTTCTATTAAGCCAATATTGTCACTTCCTGGCTTGTCTGCCCTCTTCTCCCACCCGACGGGGTTGATGCGTCGCTGTTCTCAGTGCCTGATTATAGCATCTTCTTTATGTTTTCTGGTCCCCACGAACCTCCCCCACTCGGTCTAGCACGGGAAATTTCATCTTCATATGGAAAGTGGAGACGACGGCCTCGAACGAGTTCATCGATGGGCGTCCCATTATCATGTTGTAGGTGGAGGGGGCGTCTACAATAAGGAGTCTTACCGTGCGCGTCGCTCGTAGGGGCTCGGTTCCCAATGACACCGACATAATTACTTCTCCCATCGGTTGTATCACTTCTCCGGCGAAACCAATGAGGGCCGTGTCTAACATCCGGACCTCGAAGTTCAATATCATTTGCTTGAAGACTCGTAGTAAATTATATCTGGTGAGCTACCAGTGTCCACCAGGATTATGGCCACGTTGTAATTTGCCACCATGGTCGTAATGACCAGTGCATCGTTGCGTGGTTGTTGGATTCCAGTTTCGTCTTCCAACTTGAACGTGATGGGGGGGAGGGGGCTATGGACACCCGGTACATCATTGCCAGCTCCCCCCTCAACTCTTGAAGCTCTCCTAGATGAGCTCGGCGGGACCTATTCGAATTCCCCCCGATTGGGCCCCAAAAAATGGTGTGGATAAGGTTGTTGGGCGGTTGAGGCTCTGCAGCTTTGCTTATCTTATCCTTAGCTCGGTGGGTTCCACCTCCCTTTCGCAGGTGCTTCACGGTTGTGCCCGGACTACTTTCCACAAATTCTGAGAGGTTATTGGCTCTAATCAGCCTCTCGATCTCGTCTCTTAAATGCAGGCATTCGTCGATAGAGTGTAAGTGATCGTTCTGAAAGCGACAGTAAGGTCCCGCGCTGGTGGGTTTCATTGGGACCTCCGAATACGTGTGTGGCCATTTGAGCTTTATATGGTTAGCTATAGTAACCAATATCTCCGACGGAGCCGTGCAAAGATGAGCGTAGTTGTCAAAGCGGGGCTCGGTTCTGCGCTTGGTGCCTGCTTCCTTTCGTGCGGGGGGCTCTGGGCGTATCGTCTCTTCGCGGGCTTTTTCTTTGCGCTTTTCAGTCGCGTGACTGGTTTCTAGGGTCCTGCTTCTGCGAGCCTCCTCGGCATTGATGTACTTTTTGGCCCTTCGGAGTAGGTCGTTGAAGGGAGTCAGGGCTTTCTTGGAAAGGGAGTCGAAGAATTCTCCCATGCGCAGTCCCTGGGCCAGAGCGTTGATGAGCACCTTCTCATTGATGATGGGGACCTCTAAGGTCGTATTGTTGAACCTTTGCACATAGATCCTTTATAGCGTTTACTTGGTCTATTTTCCCAGGGCCTCATAATCCGGTCGAGCAGCCCGTGCCCTCCCATTGCCTTAGAGTGGGTGGCCCGGCTCATGATGGCCTCTCTCATGACCAAGCCTAGATGTACTTGGCAGTCTCCCTCATGCTTTTCTCGGTTCTAGCCGCACCTTATCATTCGAGCATTAAATGCAACTGTCAGGATATTTAACGCGCAGCTGGGCGCTGTCAGTGTATTGATATCCCTTTTCCCATACTCGCTTTGTTCTCTCGTGTTTGGCACACATCACGAGCGCCGCTAGCACCCACGGGGCTTTGTTTCCTCTTTTGTCGTTTACTCAAGGTGGGTGCGGGTCCAGGAGCTGGGCCTTTCTTTTCCGGGCCCCCCTCCCCTAATCAGGTCATCTACACCACATTTGTGCCCTTGTTAATGTGCCTTCCATTTTGGGCTTCTAGGTCCGGTTTTGGTCCGGATCAGCTGTCATTAACGGTAATTATAGTGTCACTGCCAATAAATTAACGTAATTACACTAACACTGACAGTACATTAACGTAATTGTACTACCGTTGACAATATATTTATGTAATTTTACTACCGTTGACAATACAATTAGAGTCAACGACAATATTACTATTTTTTTTTTTTTGATTTGTTGACAAGTCAACGTAATTATATTACTGTCGTTGACAGTAAAATAACTGTAAACACAATAATATTACTGTCAACCACATCGATATTATTATTTTTTTGGGTTTTTTGTTTTGTTTGAGTTATTCACGGAGTAACGTAATAATAATATTATTTATTATTGTAATATTACTGTAAACACAATAATATTATTGTAATATTACTGTTGTTATAGTAATATTACTCACAATCACAGTAATATTAATTATTTTGGCTTTTTATTATGTTTACTTTTGTTGAACGGTCAACATATTAAAATTACTTTTTTTGTTTTGAGTAAATTCAAGTCCATTACAAGGGAAAGTAGGGGAGGGGGCCTCGAACCCTAGACCGTTACCCTATTGGTAAAGGCTAGGTACCAACTCTCCTAATGAGGGTTGGTTCCATATTAATATTACTCTATTACACAATAATAATGACTTTTGTTGTGTTAATATTATTGTGCTAGAGATTAATATAGCAATATTGTTGTGTTAAACTGTGGTATAGTCAATTTTACTGTATTTAACAGTAATATAGTTATTAATATTGTCAACCACAACAATATTGTTGTTCAAACGGGGGCCAAAAAGATGTTAAAGAAAAATAAAATAAAATAAAAATCGAAAAAGTCAACGCCGGAGACCGACGCAAAAATGACGAAGAAAAAAAAAGTTAAAGTTGTTGACCCGCAGTCAACGGCGGTGATGGACGAAATTGTCCATAAATATGTGTTTGAGTCAAAATTGAATAATTTGTTAAATTTGTGGTCAAACTGATGTTAGATTAAATTAAGAATGAAACTGGAGCATATTAAAATATCATCGGCTATTTTAATCCTTTACAAACCTCTGAACCATGTGTATATTTTTTTTGTAAAATAGTTTATTGTCTGGAACTATTTATGAATAAGTATCTATTAATGGGCTTATTTGTAAACTCCGCAAAAATATTTAACATTATTTATTATATGCTAATTAATAATTTATTAACATTATTTATTATAATCATTTTACAATTATGTTCATGTTATATAGAAGTCTTGCTAGTTACTTATCGAATATTTGCCTGTCTCAGTGGATGCCATTAAAATGTATTTTTGAACAACTGGAGTTTCATCCTTATCTATAGCATCTTTCAAATTAAAAGTTAAAAATCTGGTTCGGCCCTGGACCTGCCCCGGACCCGCCTCTCGCAGATCGGTTTCGAGCCCCTTAAAACATGATAAGTTGCTTCAGGCCCAAATTGATTATATGGGCTCAACCCAGGCTACTATTGTTATGATTTTGAATAAAAATCCACAAAATGGGTGAAATATTTACGTGAAGAGAAAATATGCATTTTCGAACAATAATTTTCAATCCGAATTTTTAAATTTCGACTTTCAACTTCTTCTAAAATTATTTGGATTCAGATTGAAATATATCGATTCTCAATTTGATTAAAGTTTCGAAAATAATTCCAAACATTCCGATTTTGTTTCCGAATATTACACTTAGAAAACCAATATTATTATGTATTTTATATTTTAGGTGACAAAAAGAGTAAACTGCAAAAACTACCCCTGTGTAATCTCGAAATAGCAAAAACCCCCATGTGATAAATAAACTAGCAAAAACCTCCCATGTGAAATTATTTAAATAGCAAAAACCCCCCTATGGAACTATTAGAGGGTTGACTTGATATAAAAAGACACAAATACCCCTGGAGTCTTGCAATTAACAAATTCTTATATTTTATAAATATTTTAATTATTTTATAAAAAAATAATCAATTTAGTTGTTTACTATTTTTTTTTAATTTCTAAACAAATAAATTAAAAAGAATAAATACACATATAATATGTATATATATAAATACATTTTGAGGGACAATTTTGTCATTTCAAGTTTAAAAAATCAGCTAGGGGGGATTCTGCCTTTGACTAAATTTCACAGGGGGGTTTTTGCTAGTTTATTTATCACAGGGGGTTTCCGCTATTTCGAGATAACACATGGGTAGTATTTGCAGTTTACTCGTGACAAAAAATTGGAAATTTCTGAATACCGTTGAGTCCGATCTATTTTGGAACAATTTTTTTCCGTTCCCATTTCCGAAATTTGATTACCAATCTCTCTGGAACGGAATTGGAACTAGTATTTCGTTTCCAAAAAAAACTCGGAATGTGCTATATCAAAAACGGGATTGTTAATTTGTGTGGATAATTAAAAAGAAAACTGCATTGCTTCTCCTTATGATGATATTGCCTTGTACAAGCAGCACTCACGATTAATGGGGATCGCTTTTAAAATACAAATAGTATATTTATTTTCTTTTACATTTGAAGTATTAATAATACATATTAATTTGTTTTGTATCTACCAAATTTCATATTTGTAACAAGGAACTCATTGGTCGTAACTAAAATAAAATTGATTTGACTGATTTAATCCATGATGAAATTCTTGGATTTAGAGAGCACCCCAAATTAAACATATAACTGATTTTCGATGCAATAAAAGTTAAATATGGGACTATGTTAGAAATGTACGATAATGTTGTATTGTGTTGGAGAAAAAGTAAAATTTAATAAATGATGTGATATTTTTATATTGTTCTATAAATAAATGGGTATAATTAATTTTAATTAGTTCTTGCCTCTTGGGTGTTGGTGAATTTTCACGCTCGCCAAAGCTGGTGGCGGCGGAAATAACGGCCTTTGACCCACTCTCCTCGTCGGATTCCGACGAGGCCCGCTTGTTTTTCTTGGTCAGAGACACCATATCTTGGACGATTGCTCCTCGGAATTTGGAGCGATGAAGGAGGATTGATTACTCCTCGGGCGGCGTCGGAGCGACAATTCATGGATGGAGGCGGAACGGCGTAAAGGGATGAAGAGCATCATAAAGAGAATTGAGAGAAAGAAGAGAACGGCGATGTAAAAACCTAAAGAGAAAAAGTAGATTTTGAATAAAAGAAAAATGACTATGGTTATAATTTATTAAAAGTAATATTGGCATATTATGTCCCATGTCTAGGGTGGAAATCAGAGGGAATGAGTCGAAAATTACTTTTTCGAAAAAAATCAAATTTTTTCGGAAGTAAAAAATGGTTCCAATATCCGTTAAAAAAACTGGAATGCAAAAATTCATTCTGATTTTGGAATACTCTGGAGTATCTCGGAATCGGCGGAATTTCGGAAATTGCATTAGTTTAGAATATTTTGTTCCAAATTCGAATTTAATGGAAATTTTTAGACTATTTTTTCTATCTATTTAAAAAAATTGCATTAAAAGGCCACAAAATCCAAAAGTGGGTTCGACAAATGCAATAAATAAAAACACATGTCGTAACAACAAATTGAAACATATATTTTCTTATAAGGAAAAAATGCAACATAAAGTTTCTGTTATCGATTAATCTTTTCTGAGGTTTTAATTTACTTGAGCCTTGGATATTTATATTTTTCATATAAAATGTTGCATAAGTTATATTATCGAATTACAAAATATATCATAATATATATTATATATTTCGAAAAAAGATAGAAAATTCGAAGTTAAAATAAGAAGTTCCGATGATTTTATATACCATTCCAATTTCCGTTCCAAATAAATTTGGAGGAATCGAAAATTGGAATTAAAATACGATTTAAAATTTCGATATTTTCGGATCGAAATTGGCGGACTTCGAAAATTACATTCCAATTTCCACCCCTACCCATGTAGTTAATGTAACACGTAGATCGGTTCTCTCAAATTCAAAGAAGAATGGGATTCTCTCGTATATAAATTAGCTAATTTTCTCTAAATAATTATAGGGATTATTTTGGTGACCCCCTCATTTCGAAAATATATTTAATTAACAACCATGTTGTTTACACCCAAGTGTAAAGCCCCTCCATTTGGATAATAATTTGATATACACCTCTAGCCCGCCCTGAACTACCCGGAATACGCTTTTGAATCAGTTTTAAACCCTAGTCAACTCATATAGGTCTCTATCTTCCTCTCTCAACTCCTAGATCCAAATCCCGCCCCCCAATATCTCTAACCGGCGATGTTGCTTCCCAAAATCATAATTCTCTCTCCGGTGGTCGGAATTCGATGGTTCAACTATTATTGGATCCCTCTCGTCGAGCTCTTTCTTTTGGCGGTTATTTTCTTTCTCATGTCATGATATGATGTGATTTTAAAAGAAAGAGGTACTCTTTAGAAATCTATAAACTCGCTTTTTCCTTGATATTGTTGTATTATATTTTGACTATCTTAGTATTACAGTTTCTCCTAATTATATAGGAATTATGAATGAAATATAAATTAGTTATGTGTTGATTTGGTTGGAATAAGGTTTGTCTCGAATCTAAACTCGCTCGTCGTAACAAAATCTTCAATTCTCCAAGTGCAATGCAAGCGCATATTGCGTGCAAATCACGTGCAAATCTCGTGCATATTACGAGATTATGTGATTATACACGCAAATTCATAATTATTTTTCTTAGGTTTGTCTCGAATCTAAAGTCGTTCATCGTAAAAAAATATTTGGTTCTCCTAGTGCAAAACAAGTGAATATCGCGTGCAAATCTCGTGCATATTACGAGATTTCGTGAATATATTCGCATATTCGTAATTATTTTCTAAGCGAGCATTTCGAAAATGAAAAACGATTTAAAAATAAAAGGAAGATAATATTATTTCATATTAAATCGTTAATGTTGGGTTAGAGACATTTTACCGGGCTTAATCTTACAAACATTGGTGAAAATTACGACAATACACAATAATAGGACATCAGATTTTTTCGGAACGAAATAATGAAATCATTTAAAAATTTCAGTAATATAAGTTGTGATATTTGTAAACGAAATAATAAGATTGACCAACCCTCTATAATTCTAAATTTATGTTGACCCCTATATTTAAAATTTATTTATTATTGAAGAATGGAAACATTTGGTCTTCCTCTTTTTTAGTTTCCTCTTTTTTTAGTTTAGAGGTCTGTCTATTATTAAAAATTAGAGCAATTCCAATGGGGGAATCAAATTGAGTATTAAATGCTAAAACAATCATTTTGATATCCACAATTCAAAAGAAAATCTCCAATGGAGGCATTAAAGGCATTAAAGAGATACAAAAATGCATACTAAAAAAAGAGGTATCAAAACATTAACTACTCAACAAACATCTATTACAGTCGCATAACAGAGTCCACATAATTATAAAAACTAATTCACACAAAAGGTTATGCTGTAATCGGAACCGGAGCAGGTGAGCGTACTGCTCCGGTCGTCGTACGCATAACTGTACGTCGACAGGCACAATCCCTTAAAGAGAAGGGAGTATGCCGTTGCGCCGCACGTCTCCAGCGACGAGTGGTCGCCGTTGCAGCAGTATTCCGGCATGTGGAACGCAACACAGGCGCTCTTGCAAGCAACCACCGCACCGCCGCCGCCATCGACAAGCTGCAGCTCCTTGGGGCAGCTGCTGATCACATTCCCCGCGCAGGTAGCGTAGCGACAGTCGCCGAAGCCCCCGTCATTTGCACTCCTACGCCGACGTTGTATCCGTCGACCAGGCTCACATCGTAGAAATCCTTGGCCGCTAAGGAGAATTCGGTGAGGGTGACCGGAGGCTCCCCGCTGTCCACGCACTTGAGCTAGCCGGTGCAATCGCCGGTCGTGCAGTGGTTGTTGCCAGCGTCGTCGAAGAAACAGCGGATCCGGATCCAGAAATGGCCCGACCAGCCCAGCAGGGCTTGGAATTGAATAGTGCCCCCGGGCGGCAGTGCAAAGCCGCTGTCGGCGATGACAACGCCGGAGTATGTTGCAGCCAGATTATGTAGCTACAACGGTTTTGGATTGTAAACACGGTGACCGAACCTGCAAATTCAAACAAAATATTAATTTGATGAATAATTATATTATCTAAAAGATCAAGATTATAAAAACATTATGTAGAGTAAATCGACATAGTTTTGTTTTTACCTATGGAAAAAAATAGGCTAAGTTGGACAAGAAGAAGACGAATGTTCCTAGCTGCTATTTTTACTATGACATGAACTTTTGTACATTATCAACCAAAAAAATTAATTTTAGCATACATGCTTGGCTTGTCAAATTTGGAAAGCCAAATCTATTGTTTAGCAAGTGTGCTAATTTTTAGCATAGCTGTTGTTGGAGTTCATTTTTTTTTACAAAAGTTGTAAAATTCGGTAAAATTTAGCATACATCATATCTCTTGGAGATGCTCTAAAGTATTTTTTTTTTTGTTTAATGGAATGATTTTATTGGGTCATAGTGTTGTTCCACATTAAGTGCAAATCTCGTGCAAATCAAGTACAAATCTCGTGTCTACTATAAGATTATATGATTAAACGTGTAAATTTGTACTTACATTTTGTAAGATGAGCATTTTCGAGAGTGATTCAAAATAAAAGAGAATTGTTGAGGTGCAAACATAGTTCCACATCTATGTAATATGAGAAATAATATTAAAATAATAACATACAGCATTATTTTATTAATATAATCTAAACAACTCTTCAAATTTAAATCAAGTTATAAGAGAAAAAAATAATTTAATGATTGTTTTGATCCAATCTCTATTGTTTGATTTAATTTAATTTTGTTTGAGAGAGCACCAAAAAAAAAAGGAAAAGTAGGAGAAGAAGAGGGATGTGCCTAGCCGCCATTTTTATCGAACCAAATGACGGAAGGTTGATGTGGACTGGGGAGAGAGAGAGAGATGTTTTGTATCTACCAAATTTCATATTTATAACAAGGAACTCATTGGTCGTAACCAAAATAAAATTGATTTGACTGATTTAATCCATGATGAAATTCTTGGATTTAGAGAGCACCCCAAATTAAACATATAACTGATTTTAGATGTAATAAAACTTAAATTTGGACTATGTTAGGAATCTATGATGATGTTGTGCTGTGTGGTGTTGGGAGAAAAAAATAAAATGTAATAAATGATTTTATATTTATATATTGTTCTATAAAGAAATGGGTATAACTAATTTTAATTAGTTCTTGAGTGTTGGTGCAGTTTCACGCTCGCCGAAGCTGGTGGCGGCGGAAATAACGGCCTTTGACCCACTCTCCTCGTCGGATTCCGACGAGGCCCGCTTGTTTTTCTTGGTCAGAGACACCGTTTCTTGGCCGATTGCTCCTTGGAATTTGGAGCGACGAAGGAGGATTGATTATTCCTTGGGCGGCGTCGGAGTGACAGTTCATGGATGGATGTTGAACGACGTAAGAGGGATGAAGAGCGTCATAAAGAGAATTGAGAGAATGGCGATGCAAATTTTTATCCCAAGAGATAAAGTAGATTTTGAATAAAAGAAAAGTAGTTATGCTTAGAATTTATCTTTATATATTAAAGAAATGTTTACCCCAAAACCCTAAAAACAGTTTTTTTTTAATATTTTTGTAAAATATTTATCTCCTTTATTTTCTCTTTTTCTATAATTCATTCAAAATACCGTCGTATCAATTTTACACATCGTGTGACTGTTCATTTTTGTGTAACCATATTGTAAGATCTCCATAACTTGCAAGAAAAAAAATATTATATAATACTAAATGAAAGCAGTTATTTTGCACATTGTATACTGTTAATTCTTGGTTAATTGCAAATCATTAATCAAAATTCTACTTTTGAATCCATATTCTTATTTCTAAAAGCAAGCTTAAGGCTAAAATCAATAAAAAAGAGTGGGAAATAAAAATTAAAAAAAAAAAAAAAACACACAACACAACACAAGTGTTATAAAAGCA